GTGACGAACAGTGTACATTTTTAACTGAAATGTAAGCATATATGCTTACACAAGTTACACGAATACAAATATAAAAACAAATGGAAAGTGGGAGAGTGTTCCGCAGTTTGGCATTTCGCGGAAAGAAAAAGATTGGAGGGTTGAGGTACGACGACTGGGAAGGGATTGTACCGCGTTGGCATTGGCCACTTGGATCAGCTTGAAAACCAATTTGGGTAGTCTGACACGCAAGCGACGTCGATAGTGCAGTGTTGGTTATTACAAACGATGATGCATTGAATCCATGAGTGCAAGAAGTTTCGGACTTTTCAGGAATCGGTTGCATCCATGATTTCTATTCGTTGTGCGTATTTACGGAGAAGAGTTAGGACTGAAACCTACGAAATTGTCTCTCTCTCTCTCTCACACGTCCAGGAAGTAACTTAGACTGACTTCAGCAACTGGACACAAGGTGACACTACTTTTTCTTCTATGTCCGTATTTTATGTCACAAACTTGGATATATTTTGGTGTAATGCCTATCTAACATCCTGGTGCTTTCTTATTTAGACGGGAAATTCGGTCGTAATCGAACTGAGTGACGGTGATGATGAACCGGAGGAGGAGGAAGAAGAAGTAGAAACAGAAATTTGTGAGCTACAGGACGCATCCAGTTACGCTGATGCTGATGGGAAAATCGTACTGAATCCTAATCGCACCGATGAAAACGAGCCAGAGGTCCTTTTGCCTCCACAAATAGCTCGAGTGATCAAGCCACATCAGGTGTGTACTCTTTTCTGCACCACATTACTTCGCATTCCACGCTTATCACTAAAATGCGATTGTTGGGGCGAATACTCCTCAAGTTGCTCGCACTCCCTATCGACGATTTTTATCTACAGATACTATAAGTTTTTATTATATAGCATTTCTTTTACATACACCTTCAGTCTTCAGCGTTTTCATTGTGTTGTTTTGTCCCACTAATTCCGATCGGAATCTAGGTCAGCGGCGTACGTTTCCTATACGACAATGTAGTCGAAAGTTTGGAACGTTTTCATCAGACTGATGGATTTGGTTGCATTTTGGCACACAGTATGGGTTTGGGTAAAACCATCCAGATAATCGGTTTCCTCGAGTCGCTGTTCCGTTATTGCAAGGCCCAACGTGTGCTGGTTGTTGTACCCATCAATACCATTCAGGTGAGTCCATCTTTCACTGAACAATCTTGAGGTTTTCTACTGTCCTATCATCATACTAAAACACGCGAAAGGGCGAAAGCCATCGAGAACCAACCTAGTTGAGGCTATTGATTTTCTTCTTTAGTAGGATTTTTTATTGCACACCTCGGCCTGACGAATAGCAGACGGGGTAAATCCTACAGTCACGAGGACCCATTGTTCAATCATGGAATCTGGTAACCTTAGCCCGGGACCTTGGGGTGACGAAACACAAGGACACGATGATTCAGGCATAGTATTGAATCGGACCATAGCAAAGCTGCCTACTATCAAGCTTATGTCAAGGGGCGGAGCTCAAACCTCGTACCATAGGGTCCAAAGCAAGCCGGTAACTGAATAAACTACTACGCCACCACCTTTCGGCGTGATCATCCGCTTCACGGGCCGTGGCTACAAATCGAAAGATCAAAAATGTCTTTGGAACTACAGAATGCCGTCTGCTCAACACCCATTCACAAACACTATCGCCAAATTCCTGTACATTTGTCGACCTTTGAAAATATAGATGACAGTGGTGTTGGCACATGTAAGTCCGTTACCTGTCACTAACTGAAAAGCGACCTCGGTAACCGATAGGTATTTCATCGTTATCATCGTTATTCAAATGGGTGACCAACAGGCAATAACCAAAACCGGCACACAAAAGTGCATGGTTTTATGGTTTTGAAAACTGAACTGAAGTGAACTGATTCAAGAATGCACAAACCGTAAAGAATTCCATACTGCATCGGTCGTCACGCAGGATAAGCAGGACCTCATTGCTCACTGTAGCGAGCAGAGTGAGTAGCGATAATTAGGCTACTGCTCATACATCCAAACCTTAAATTCTTTTCCCCCCATACCCAACCCTCTCCCTTTGCCTCTTCTTCCGGCCCATAACAATTCCTCAGGCAACTTGTTTGCCACTCGCCAAAGGTCGTTGCCAAATGGCCCTGTAAGTAATTTACCACGAATTAAATATCAGATCATGAAACCTTGTCAGTCTCAGAATCTGAATGCCTTTGAAGTGAGGACTGATGCCACAAGCTTGTCTTTGCTTGTACAACGGACACAGCGATCAATGTTTGTACCGTATCAGAGACGAATTCAGGATTCTAGTGCCTTGAGCCACTTAATTGCACCGGATTTGTCCTCCTCCGCACACCAGGCGACGACAAAAGTTGCTATGTCAGGTTACCTTCCTCTCTTCAATAACTATGGCATTATCAAGGGATTCTATNGGAGGAATGATCACCTGCCGATAGTCTCGGTAACGTTGGCGAAGTTATAGATGTCCTGCTTATAGTGTTGCCACCAGACTGTTGAATCCCATGGTTTTTCGGTCGCTTTCATGATACATTTTTAAAGCAGTTTCCATGTTTTATATAACTTTTTATTTCATGGCAAACAGTAAGGGAATAAACTCCATAATCATAAAGGCCACTGTATTATGCAATGAATATTTATGTAGAACGGAGATAATATATATATATATATAATTATATCGGAATACTGTCGGATTGCCCAGGCTCAGACTGGGGAAGAATATTGAGGAATCCGCAACCGGAGCCTTTGGCTAACCAAAGCCTGATGCGCAAGTCAGCCGGGCGGTGTGCGAAAACCGCAATCCATTGGAGTTTGGTGTCCAATTCTTAGGGTCATCCGCCTTTCGGACGGTGTCAAGCGTCTAAGGTGCCCCAAACACCCCGATGTCCAATCGAGCCGGTGACTGTTGCCACACCCGGGAAGGTGTGTGGTTCGTACTCCTCCTCTTGGTTGGTTTGAAATCAGGTTTTTTGGCCAACTCCTCTAGGTGAACTGCCAGTGGTCCACTAACCCGGTTATTGCCCCGATGTCGGCTTTTTGTCCTCTTACTTTAGTGGGAGAACACCTCCGCCACGAGAAGGCAGTGAGTAGGGCTTCCTAAGCAGAAGCTGTTTGAGACGCTTGGTCATATGGGAGCGTTTCGCGAGGTGCAAAGGAAGGGTGACTCGCCCCAACCATAGGCACGGACCCCCGACCATACTGAGGCTTATATATGTATATACCTTTATGAGTAGTTCATTAAACATTTGCAGCCTGCCCATTAACACTGAAACCGTCCGAATTTCTATCAATCTTTCTTCCAGAACTGGCAAGCGGAGTTCGAAATGTGGGTACCGAGTGATACATCTAAGCGTACAGCACAACAAAGTGTCAAGTCGGAACCGCCAAGTGCAAATAACGAAAATTGCGAGACAGCCGAATCCCGGGACGATCTGGAAGTTTCAGAAACTAACATATTTGAATCCCCTGCCTTAAAATCAACCAGCACATTCGAGTCGACAGATGCCGAGCAAACAGCGGAGGGAGAGTCAGATCACGGAATGTGCGAGGCTTCAGAGTCACCGAATATAAAAGCTTCTTTGAATCCATGCGTTCGGTCGTTCAAACTGTTTGTAGTTCGGGATGTAATCAAAACAATGACACAACGTCACGAGGTATTATCAGTTTATAACTTTCCCACGGCTCCAAGTGTTTTGAAGATTATATTATAAATTTACGTATGTATATTAGTCCTCATGCATACTAAGCCTTAACTCATGTGTTTCAATATTCACTCATCGTTTTTGACTTTCACTCGTCTCTCTCCTCCCCGTTCATCTATTTAGCCTTGGTATCACTTGATGTACTGAGTAGTACAAAACTGTAACCCGTTAACCAGGCTGCAGATTAGTCCCATTTGATCAGTGTTGTGTATCGTTACTTCAATCACTCAGCCTGTAGACGTGACACTGGGCGACAAAACGAGCCCTGAATCCATGCCTTATTGGGGCTGTCATTTGATCAGACTGATTAGTGGTTCAGTGAATCTGGTGTTCATTATCAGTGCATTGACTGCACTACACTTTTGAGGTTTCAGTTACCTTCTGATTGAATAAAAAAACGGTCTCTGAATTGGACCTGTTTTGTTCTATTCGGTAAACAAAAATTGATACCAAGGCTAAAAAATTATGAACGAAGGCTGAATAACCATGGGGAACGCTGTTGGCTAGACTATTTATATCCATTTGAATCCAAATATGAGCAAGTCAATACTGTCGCTTCGGCCCTGTGGTTGAACTGGTAGATCGTAAGCTGTGCAAAAGCATATCTTGTCCTTGCGTGTCTTTGGATTCCACCAAAGGTGGAAATTATA